CTGGGTTTCCTTCTACTCCGGGGTCCAGGCTCAGGGCAGGCGGGACTCCTAGCCTCCTTTGACTGCAGTTTCTCCTGCTCTCAGACATGCCTGACTTTTCCTCAAGTGACCTCAGAGGTTTTCGATGAAGACCAAGGGCCTGAACCTGTTGTGGGAAGTTAAATGGAGGGAAGTCTGGCTGTGGCCACCCAAAAGGAGGCTAAGTTGAGCTCTAGGATGAGTCACCTTATTATTTTACTCACCTGAGGACTCCGGGAGCCGTGGGCAGTGGAGTGGACTGGTGTCACCGCCCTTGGAAAAGCTGTCCATGGGGTGGCTCACTTCCCTGGAGGGGCTCGTCCTGTAGGGACACGAGAGCCATCTGTTGTCTGAAGGGTAACCAGTCGTCCGCCTCCCTCTGGGGTTGTTCCATGGCAGGGGACTTGGTACGAATTGACAGTTCCTTCCTCGGCTCCTGGGGGACGAGTCACAGCATGTTTCCTGCATCCCTCCTCAGGAGGCCTTCTCTCATGCATATAACCAAAATCATAGGTAATTCTCAGGGGTCCTGCTTCTCTGCAGCCCACCCGTGACCCCACCCTCTCCCACCCACCCAAGAAAACAGAAATGCAGGCCACTGAGAGCGATGCTGTTACAGAGGTTGCTTTCAAGTAACCAAATGTATTTTTAGTGTACGTCCCACGTGAAGCTTCAGGCTGCATTGGTTACAGTGACCCGGAAATCCTCTCTCTACCAGTCTTGGTGCCTCGTCGTGATGTGGTGCCTTGTGGGGTGATGAGTGCTCTACCACCTGAATAGAATACATGAGAATAAACCTTGTTCTGAGGTGTTTCTGGTTGTGTTTGACTTTTGTTTCATTTCACATGTTAAAGCCCTAACATATAAATTGTAAAGATTTTAATCGTCTCCATCCTACCCCCCCCCCCAGCTTTATTCAGGCAATTCGATTCTTCCCTGCTGAAACAGAAAATATGTAACCCAGCTGTGAAGCATGCCTCCCTCCCAGGTTCAGTTACAAGGCCAGAAAGCCATTCCACAGGGAAAGACCACTGTGATCTTGCTAAATTTTCAGCACTGAAATGGGTGTTTCAGAATTTAATTTGGAAACTCGGAAGCAGAATGTGTTAATTCACAGTGACAGGTAGGTGCCAGTTCAGCAGAATTGAGCCTCCACCTTCCAGTTCAGTGTGTTTATCTGGCAAACGGACCCCTGGGGAGTCCGACCTCTCATCTCGGGTGGTATTGCAAGGAAAGGGGTGATTTTTCTTTTCTCGAGGGATCGTTTTCACTCGAGGCAATCCAGTTGGATGTTCTATTCTGAATTAATCCAGACTAACAAAGGACACATTCTCAACTCCAACCTGAGGTGTGATTGTGAGAGGGTTTTGGTTGTCATTGTTTTTGCTTCATTTTGTTAAGAAACAGAAGAGTTCTGAGGTTTGGAAGAGTAGTTGTATATGCGTCACACAATGACTACTGACCTTGAATTTTATACTCTCGTCTCTTCTAAGGGGAGGTGGACGAGGTAAAAACAAAACGAATCTCAGTTTTCCTCAGACCTGGTGGGAAAGGGTGGGCAGTCACCACAATGGGCCGGGCCACTCCACTTTCTGCCCTGGTTGAAAATAGGGGGCACTTTGTTAACTGTTTCCCTCCACAGGGAGTAAACCGGGTCTAGTAAGATTCTTATCAAGAGCAGGAGGCTTTAAACAATGGTTTCTTCAACTGTGGACAATAGCAGTGTAAGCCGAAACCGTGTGTTCGTGAGAACCTGAGAGAACAGTCAGAGCCGATCCTTGCATTCGCCCGAGAATGGACCAGCAAGTCAGGTCTGAGCTGGGGCTGTGGGGGCCGGAAGGTGGCTGGTGAGGGTTGTTGAAAAACTGAAATAAAACACCCACAACTGATTTACTACCCTCCATAAAATCAAACTTCTTCAAGAAGTGTTAAACTGACTTACATTCTCCTTATGTTCATTTTCATGT